AATCACAAATGTCTTACGCTTCTCATTGAAAGCATTCAGGCGGCTGTGACCACTGCTGATCTGTGATAGGTGTCACAGGTAAGTCCATACTGTGCTGCCGAACCCTTGAGCTGATGATAAAGTCCTTCCAACTACAGAAGAGCGCCTTTTCAACACCCAAGTCAAGGGAGCTGGCACCTTACACCTGAGTCGGCCCCGTCCTCAGACGGCAGATTTGTTCTGCAGTTGGGCAGCTGGCGGTGAAGAACTGGTGCTGAAGACACGAGTCAAGAGGTAAAAGGTGTCAGCGAGGGAGCCCTTTGGGTGCCATGTCAGCTCCAATTGCAAAATGTTCCTGGTGGGATGGAGAGAAATAACCACCGTGAGCCTGAAACAGCAGAGCGAAGCATCCATTTCAGCCGTTATATCACCTGAAAGTATCCCAATTAAGCAGAACTACTGTCTCCATTAAGCAGCAGCAACCCTGGCCGTGTGTATCATTAGGTTTAAATAGGTTTTCTTACTAATTAAGCACAGTTGTTGATTAACTGTGTCCTAATTTTGTGGAGCGTGCAGAATAAATACAATTGAATTGGACTGCTCCACCAATCTCATTTTTTGGCAGGGTATTTTTAGTTAATCTTTTAAATTGTAATGAAAATGAAAGAGAGCAACAAAATATTGTGAACTGTTTCACAGAATATAATACAAAAAAAAGTTCTCTGTAATAGAAATGCTTCAAAACAAATCCGAATATCCTTGGAGTGCATTCTGTTTCTTTAGTCAGACTTATTATCATTCTCTTGGCCTATTGGCTCTGTGTGCATTAAAAAACCCAAATACTTGTGCCAGCCATAGCTCTAAAGACTTAATAATTTCTCACTTCTGAGTATGAAAGGTAGTGCAAGCATTCAACATAATGTCAAAAAAAAAAAATCAAGCTGCTAAAGCTTCATGCAGCTTATTACTTTCCCAGGTGCTACTGAAGTCCCAAATGTAACAAGTGGGAGGAATGGCACAGTAAGGAAGAGCACCAGAGCAAAGGAAATATACGTATGGGAAGCGGTGAGACCCAGTATTAAGGTTTTCTCCTGAGTTCAGGATGCCTAGGTTACTTTTCCCAGTAAGCATTTGTTGTTGCTGGTAGTCAAAAAAGCTAAGAGCACCCCTGTCCACTCTCACTGCGAGGGAGCTGTGGTAGTGGCCAGGACAGGAGCGTGGGGGGCTGGTGGCTCTCCCCAATCACGAGCTTCTCGTTCTTGGGTTAAATTGATCCTTCGGTTCACTTTATAAACAGCTTCGCCAATGGTGGTTACCATCCCTCGCCCCAGTGCCTGTTACTGGCCTCTCTGCAGGACCTCACCACTCTTGCACCTCTTCTGGAAGAAGACGAAAAGTGCTTGACACCAAACTTTTGAAAATAGGTATCAGCATTTAAATTTCTAGCTCTTACTTGAGAAGCGTAAGTAAACATTGTGGCTTAACATGCTCGAGAAGGACTGCTGGCTTTGCTGTCCTCTCCAAAACACCTTGCTAGATCAGCTAACCACTTTTAAGGACTTTGCATGCTGTACCACTTAACATAAAGCCGTGAATTCTCAGATGCTGCAGTAACGAAGAGTGTGGAAGTAATCCCAGTCAGGTGGATGGATGCTTTGTAGAAGTCCAAACTCCTTTCAGCTGTTGGGGTAAAAATCTGACCTCTGTCCAAATTTTAGGTAACTAATGAAGCAGGGAGCAAAATATGTGTCTGAAATGGCAGAATTCCTTGCAGTACAGTAATTTGAGTTTATATACAGCAGTGCTGTATGCACCGTGCACCTGTGCACTGAGTCTGTCCCCAAAAAAGTTTCAAGGCAGCCCCTCAGATTGCTTATCAAATGCGGTCCTATGGATATTGAGAGTAAAGTTATTTTTTAAGCTGCTTTAAGTCATTACTTTTATTTTCAATAGCTTACTTTAATATGTCAGCCTTCCCATGTGCTTTTGGCCAAACCTGAGGGCTGGAAGAGCCTGTGTGGGAGCTGCAGAAGATGCAGGTGGTAGGTGACTTCATGGTTGTAGTACCTCAGTTGTCCACACGGGCTCTGGCTGAGCTGGGCCTG